CATTCCGATTTGAGCCATGTCACTGACCACTGGGGCTTCTCCTAAAATAGCTCAACCCACATGTCATGTTGCAAACGAGAATTTTCAGAGGCCATGTGCTTCAAGGGTAATTTGAGTTTATCACAACTTGGGCTTTATTTTTTCATTTTCGTCCATTAGTTCTGTCTCTTATAGCACTTTGGTTACTGAAGTAATTACTGAAATTTGAGAACATGCTGACTTTGATACAAGAAAGCCCAACAGGGTAAGAAACATGAGCAGTCAGGCGATTAGATTGCAAATTGGTAAACAAGCAAATATTACAGGCTGTAAACAAGCAAACATTACACAAGAAAAATGTGTGCATGCACGCTATGTCAGTGCTGATCCAGGAAGTCGGCAGTAACTTTACTGAAGTTCATGCTGGACACTTTGTCTTCAATTAATCTTCCAGCAAGGGAGATTTATTTAGAAATATGTTGACTTCTCATGTTTTTTACACCAACGGATTTGTTTGTAGTGCTGTTGGTAATATACTTATAGGAATCACGCTTATTAAAAACTAAAACAATCCCTTTATTGGCAAATGTGATGAAGTTATATCACAGGACATCATCATGCTCTATCATAGCACCAGCACAGGATGATTCATTGCATGTCAGCATGCCTCTGGGCAAACACTTTCATAATGCTCTCACATGATAAAGTGCATGGGATATTCTTTACACCTAACATATGACCACGGTGTCCCTCTCTATTTTCAGCCAGTCCGCTGACTCTGTGTGCACACTTCTATATGAATACTTGTGTTGACTGTGTGTATATGTGAGTGGTGTCCTGTAACTTGTGCAGCAGGGAAGCTTTACTGGAGTACCGGCTCCGTGTAACGGGAGGAGATGACTGGGCCCTCAGTGTAGCGCTAAAAACAGCCTGACAGCTGAGTGTGAAGAGCGAGTAAATGAAACTGAAACAGCACCTGACCATGTGGTAGGTGGACCGCATTTCTGAGTGACATGAATATTAGACCATAAACACATCACCAATATTTTACACACGCTACTGTAATGTTTCCTACAACTGTCATATGATTAGGTTCGGATTTTGTTGTTAGTGAAAAGTTTTCAGTCAATGCCTGAACTTAATCAACTAAAAGACATTTTATAAGCTAGAATCCAGCCTTTCTTATTTCTCTGATATTCATCATTGTTTTCAGTGTCATAGTAACGTGGCTGCTTTTAATTTAATTTGATTTTAATGTATAAGAAGTACAAGAAAGTACAACTTGAAATTCATTACAAAGCAGTTAATTATAAACATCTTTATTTATCAAGCAATTTTTCAAAATCCAAGTTACAAAGTGACTCCCAAGGCAACAAAATAAACCAGATGGGTGTAAGATCATCAGAATTTAAGGGATAGATAAAAACATGGCGGATAAATACAGCAGTGTTGAAAGTTAAAATATTACTGGAGGAAATAAGACAGTTGAAAGAAAATTAAAACTCAAATGAAACCAGGAAAGGCTCAGATCACTGACTAAGCCGGCAATGTTTCCTTTGGCACATCATTGCAGAACCTCTAGGTCCAAACTCCAAATGCTGGGTTCCCTTTAGTTTTTCAGCTGGGCTTAAAAGACCTCAGTCTTCTCCAAGTGCAAAGTGGTGCATATGGTAAGAAAAGGTCAGAGATATAGCCAGGAGAGAGTACCATTTAGCACCTTAAAAATAATTGGCAAAATCTTAAAATTTATCCTAAAACATACTGGGAGCCAGTGTCAAGAGGCTACAACAGGAAGCGTCTGCTTGCGTTTCTTGGTTGTAGCTGAAAACCTGTCAGCTGGGTTCTGTTCTATCTGGAGCCTGTCAATAGCTTTCTGGTTCAGGCAGGTAAAAAGGCTGTTACAGTAAATGTGATGAAATAAAATGGTCTCTGTGTCTTTCAGAGGTAACATAGGCTATATTCTGAAAATATTTCTAAGATGATAAAAACAGGATTACACACGTATTGCGGTTACACATGGTATTACTCCAAGATTCTTTAATACAGAATGATCTGAAAGAGAACCAGCTGGTGTGAAAATCTTTCTGACCATGTGTTGTGATACAATAATGAGAATGTCTGAATGTAATTGAAAGAAGTTATTTGATATCCAGTTTTTTACATCAGCAGTGCAGTCATTAAGAGAACTCAGCATTCCAGGTTTTGAGGATCGACTGGAGAGGCAGTTAATAAGACAAGTAATTCTCTTTTGTTCAACACTTTTACTGCACGTTTGCTGTCATACGAGGTGTTTGGTGGGAAGCTGACCAGTTTCATCTGGGTGTGTTCAGTGGACAAACAGGGCTGGCTTCTCCCAAAAAAAGAAGGAATGTATCTTCTTGGAACACCACTGAGGTCTTATTTGTGTATTTTGTCTACTCGCCTGACTTGCTTGTCATACTAGTAAGCCTGCATTTAGGATCACTGGGTTTTGCGCAGAGTTGGGAAGTGATTTTGCTGTGAGGACAAGCCCTAAAGGCTCTTTGAAATCAACATTACTGCCATAACGTGTCTTATGGGAAGAATGTTGCAAAACTTGTCAGATGCTGGCAACCTTTAGAGAAAAGCCCTTTTCAATAATAGGATAGGTAACAGCCTAACATAGGTCTCTTTTCCAGTAATGTTCCTCATTGCTTCGTACAGACAAAACCCACCACAGTGGAGGAGACAGCCACAGTAGACATTGCAGTGTTGTCTTTCATGGACATGTGCAATACTTATGAATGCACTAACAAGCAAAAGACTAAATCTAAACCAACAGCAGCTTGTCAACGTGTCTAAATAACTAATAGCCTAGTTTATTTATGATTTCCCTGATCACTGAAAATAAAATAAAAATATCCAGACAGCTGTAATGAAGCTCAAGACGTAACCTGAGGACGTCTAGTATGTAACAAAGGATTTCATTGTAGCTTCTAAACTGTGACTTAGTGTGTGACAGCTCACTTGTTCAATGTGAAGAAAAGGAGTCAGTGTGACCTACTGTTAGATCCTGTCCAATCCTGTCTCCACTTTGAGCATAGTTTCTAATTTTACCTGAATATTGTAGTTACCAGCACTGTCGGTTTGTTGTTCCATGTGTGTAAATGTGTGTAGTTCTCTGTGGAGATGCTCATATGGATCCTGCTGTTGTTTGATGTTGCAGGTATTTAATATACTTAGCAATAAGCAACAAACTGAACTTCAGCATCTGTTAATGCTTTGCCAAAAAAAAAAAGTCAATTGGTTGTATTTTTTGTTAAAAACGTTACTAGATCCAACCTAGTGAAATTGCTGTCTCAGCTATAAAGAGGCTAAAATAGCAGCAAATTGGACAGCATGTGTAAAACGTAAAAAGTAGAACTTGATCAGAACATTTCTTTTCCCAGTTTATAGTAAAAACGCAATATGTTACAAACACCAAGATGTCCTCCATCCAGCTACATTTTTCAGTATGCAAACCTGCATAATTTTCATGCCATTCTGACCCACATTCATCTGCATTGTGGAAAATATGTCACATACATCAACGGTGTGTCACTCGAGAAACAAGCTTGACCTGCCAAGAGTGCACAGACAGGTGATTTCACATTGCAGACTGCGATGGATATATGAGTAAGGCTGCCAAAGCTTAAGGCACAACATTATGATGAAATAGTATGTCCCAACAGTATGCAAACTGCATGCAACAGTATGTACTTTGTAAGGGCAGCTGTAGTATGAACTGAAAAGAAAAGGGAAAAGTGTGCCATTTAGAACGTAGGGTTGTTCACCGCGATGGGACTCTGCAGAGTATTGTGGGTCAGAATGGCCAACAAAGCATGTCAGCTTGCATACTGCACAATTCAGCAGATGTAGTAGGACATCCAGGTTTGTTTGTTTTTTTGGCATACTGCATTTGACTTATTATGCACTGGGACATATTGAAGCTTTTTCTGGCATGCTATTTACAATTGAAGTATAGGTACTGGAATGCAACCTGAATTTCATGTGATTTGTTAGGACACGATTGGGTTGAAGTAAATCATGTTGTGCAAAACTGTTGTTTTTTTCATCTGATAGGTTGTTAAAAAGATCACTTGACCTTGTTGCGTTTGTGTTTCTGCATTCTTGCTGTTGATCAGCCTGTCTGTATAATTATATAGTGTGATGACATATAGTATCTTGGATCTGGGCTTTGCAATGACAGGACTGCTGGGGGGGCAGCAGGTTTGTGGTTGAGGTAGCTGTTAATCAGTACATACCTTCCAAACCGGCTGGCTGCTGGCTAAACCGCATTGTCTTGTTTTGTATTTCTCATTGTGTTACATGCACAAGATGTGATGTGTGGGTGTGGCAGCTTTGGGATTGTGCGAAGGCATCTTGATGGAGCTGAGCTGAGTAACAATAAAGGTTATGTAACTGTTAATGTCAGTTTTTTAGAAGTAATTAGTTAGGCGACATAATTACTTTTTAACTCATAATTGATTAGATTTTTCAAGTATAATCTGTTTCAGTAAGTCAAAGATGAAATAACATTGTCCCTCAGTGTGTTTTCACCACAATCTGACTGCTGTTGATCTTTCTTAATCCTCCCAGGCACAAACCAAACTTACACCGGTCATTTCCCTCCAACCAAAAACTCTCTCCCCACTGTCCTCTGTGTCCAGGCTTCAGTGAGTCTCCTCTCTCTCTCCTTCAGAGGATGATTGGTCAGTCCCCCACCCTCTCTGCTGCCCTCCCCTCATTCTCCCTCTCTCTCTCTCTCTCCCTCTCTCTCTCTCTCTCTCTCTTCCTACTTAAATACTTTTAGCATAAAGAGAGAGAAGGAGGGGAGGCAGAGGGGGATGGGAGATCAGTGGGGGAGGGTAGCTGAGTGCTCACTCTGTTGTCACTGGCCAGAGAGGGAGAGGGAGAGAGAGAGAGAGAGAGAGAGAGAGAGGGAGAGAGAGAGAGAGAGAGAGAGAGAAAGAGGGAGGGAGGGAGAACAGAGTTGTGTCCCATATGTGGAAAAAAAGCATAGCAGTGCACACACGGGTCTGGTCTGCTCCAGGGATTATCCTACCGCTTTCAGATCTGATGGAGGACATGCAGGCATGAATAGGTAAGGCTGCCTGTCTTCTCTGCATCTATGTGTTGATCCGCTGCCGTAGCCCGCTGCTCTCCCTGCTGTTTGACTTTCTAAGTTGGAGGAGGACCAGAGCCCGAGCGCGCTTGAGAGGCAGCTCTCCTCTTTTTTTGACCGTGAGAGACTTGCCCTGAGCAAACCAAAACTCCCAACTCTGCTTTCTCGCCCCTCAGCCCCTCTCTGAACTGTGCAGGGACAGAGCTGTGTTTGTTTTAAGTGGAAGCTGTGGTTTGCTGCTGTAGTGTAAGTTAGTTATTCGGGGCTGAGTGTTAAAAGTTGACTGTCAGTTGGAGTGGACGGGTGGGGTGGGATGGGGGTGGTCGTGGTCAGAGACGGTGTCGTATGCGTGAAGCCTGTTAGTGTCCAGAGACAGCCGTGTGCTCATTGCGTAATTTCTCCTCCATGTGAACGGTACATGAGTGAATGTAGATTCTGTGTTTGTTTTTAAGCAGAGTCACTGTGACCACAGTAATGATGCTGCATTAAGCAGAACACTGGTGTTAAAAAAGTTGTTTTACATATTTGAGATTGTATAATTGCAGAAAATGTTTATTTATGGCTAAAAATGTCTTCACATATTTTAAAAACTGGAATGCAGTTTCAATAATCAGATTTTTTTTCCCTTTAAACATTGTGGATTAAAGCTGCACTTTAACACAAATGGCTGCTATGGAAAAACAACACAATTTCATACAGTTGTTTTAATCTCATAGGCTTGCTCAGAGAGGTGCTTCATATTAGAATAAAACAACAGAAAATGGAAGATTAAACTTAATCTGGGCATGATTAAAATGTGACATGTACAACTCAAACCAGAGCAGAGATTTACTGTATTTTATTTCACCTGATCTTTAAAGAGACAAAAACGGCTGAATTAATTAGTTTTTGCATTTTTAAAAAGTACAATTTCAGTCTTTAATGCAATTGAATTGGAGGTTATATTTGTTTAGGTGAAACTTTGACGTTACAGGAAACATTTTTTTTTCTGCACATTTCTTATGCAGCTTCAAAAGTGTTAAGGCTCCTAAGAATGCAGTCTTTATTGCCCCAGTGCACAGAGCAATGGTATGCATGAGTCTTTTTGTGAGGCAGATTTAGAAAGCCCTCTTTAGAGCTGGACGCAGCTTCACAATCAGCTTAATGCCTGCCTATAATGAATGCCCTTGTGTGCCTCAGTTTGGCAGACTGTGTGTGTGTGTGTGTGTGTGTGTGTGTGTGTGTGTGTGTGTGTGTGCGCATGTGTGTATGTGTGTGTGAATTCTGTTTTTGTTACACCGATAGGCTTCTCAGGTTGGTCAGTAATTCTATCATACTCTGGTTCAGTTGTGCTCTGTGTGTTTGTGTTGCTGTGCGAGTTCGCCTGAAAGGGTTGGTTGACATGTGTTTGTCCAGACGTTGTACAGCAGCCAGTATCTGCCTCACCTATTTTCTCTCGATCTCTTTCTCCTTTTCTCTCTGCCTCCCTCTCTCTCAGGGCTGTTCTGTTGTCAGTGCGAGCTCATGCCAGTGATGGACTACAGCCGGACGGGCGCTAACCTTAGCTGGCATTCACAAAACAGCAGTCCTCTTTACTGAGACCAGCTCCACAGAATGCTGAGTCCCATTGTCCCCTATAGTGAGTACACTACACCCTTCTTTCTCTCTATCCTACACATAAAACAGCTGCACTTGACTTAGTTGGACTTTGCCTGAATCAATGAGCCTCCACTCCAAAAATAGGCAGCAGGAGTGGACACTGTGTTCTGTTAGTTTGCAAAACAGACTGGAAAAAAAAAAAGCTAAAAAAGGTAACTGAAAATCAGCCTCCGTGCAGAAACTTGACTTTTTCCTTGACGCGCACTGTGGAAACGCTAAACCCCGGGCACTGGCCCTGTCTGAATGTTTCATCAGCAGGCGGAAGACACAGATGGGGGGGAAGGAAGAGAAACAGAGGGAGGTTGGAGGGCTGATGGTTTAAGCTGCAGAAACCCCTCGGTTCTGCGAGTGTCATTTTACCAATACAGCTCAGGACTAACCACCACACATGCTGCCTCCTGCTCTCCCTCCTTTTTCCCCTTCTTTCTCTTTACTCCCTCCAGTGCTGACCTAATAACTGACGTGTCCAGTGTTGGCCTCCCCCCCTTTTGCACCCTCCCACCAGGTTTCATTTGAGTCCAGTGCTCTGGCTCTCCAAAACAGCATTGTTTGCAGGCCAGCATGGGGCTGCCTCCGTGGCCTCGGCCTCAAGAGCCCCTTTTTCCCAGCTTTTTAACCCGCCTCAAAGGAGCATTATTGGCATGACAGTTACAAGAAAAGAGGGAGAAATCAAACAGAATGGTTAATTTAAAAAGTATTACTTAGAAATTGTTTATAGGAACTTCTGGTTGTGTTTTTTTAAGAATTTACAAAAAGGGGTTGCAGAGGCTAGGCAAGTGTGTGGGTGTGTGACTTCAAACCGGACAAAACAGCTTCATTAAAGCATCACAAGCAGATGTTTGACAGTAGTTGCTTTTTTGTAAATTTCTCCCTTGAAATGGCCAAATAAATAGCTGACCTCTTGTGTTGTTATGAAACATGTCCTCTCACAAGTGGTTGATTTAACGCCAGTTCTCACAGGATGTTTTTTTTTCCTATTAAGTGATATTTATAGCTACGAATCCAATTAGGCTCGGATGTTCAGATAACACTGAACAACCATTATTTTCAAGAATGTGCATTTATGTTTGACTTTTTTTTTTTAGCTGCTTGTTCCATCAGCTCCCTGTACCCTGCTGGTCCATCCTGACTGAATACTCGGAGCGGACAGCAAATCCAAGAATGTCACAAACTGCTGGTGGAATAGTTAGCATGCCTTCAGAGACGGCACACTGCTGGTCCTTCATGGGAATCTTTCAGTACACTACGTACTAGCCTTTGTGTGTGATTTGCTTTTATGATCCAGGCGCACAATGCTGGTTTTCATCTTCTCTGTTCAACAGCTTGATGGTTTTCTGTGCACAGGGTGGCTCTGTTCTGCAATGTTTCTGCAGGTTTGAGATAGTTTCAGAACAGCCTGCTAGTGTGTATATTATGTAGACAGAGGGATCGTATGAGCACACACAGCAGTGTTAGGTAGTCACGCTGTTTACTCTCAGACCTGTGACACACAAACGCGCCCCTGTGCTTGCTGGTGACACTGCAGCTCACTGTCTTTTAGTTAAAGACTGTAGTCATGACTCTGCTGAGCAAAATGCAACGGTGAGGGACTTTGCGTATGTGCAGGACATGCGAAGACTCTCACCTCCATGTTGGAATCCCCTTTGTGGGAATGTACAGCATTCCTGCTTCCTAGCGCTACTTCGGACTCCTGCTTTAGGCATTTCTGTTCCTGCAAGTCCCAGTGTACAAATGCACACAAGATGACACGCAATGAGGACAAATACACAAAACAACCCAGTTTAGTCTTTGCTATAAGCAGTACTCCCACGTATCTAGTCTCAAGGATTTAGATCCCATGTTCAGCCCTGGTGTGCGTCTCATTCTTCCTTGGTGTGTCCGGCCTTGGTCCTCGTCTCCGGCCAGTCCAGAGTGCTTCAAGCTGGGGTGAACAGCTATGGCCGAACCTGAGAAGAAACCTGAGAGAGATTCCAGGGGCCATGGATACTCCTGGAGGGATTTGGTGCAAAGAATCTGTAATCTGCACTTCAAACACACTCTTAAATCAGTCCCAGGCCGCCAACCCAGGAGTGCCCTAACTCTTGTTGCTGGGGGCCCCCACTGGTGTAGCGATACCTTTTCTTTTAAAACAGCACACAGACACACACGCACACACAGAGCGACTACACACAAGGGTCCAGATCTGGCAGTTTTTATAGCTCTCCTCTGACTGACCCCTCTCCTTTCTCTCCCCGGCTCTGTTTTTATGTTTTGTGTGAGTGTCTTTGTGAATGACTCTTGCTAAGTCATGGAACAGTTTGTATAGAGAAAAAAAGGAGTAGATCTCGTTCTGGCCCCTGAAGGAGCAGGTTGGAGGGCCGTGGCGGCGTCTACCCCATTGTAGGGCAGACTGGGATGAGTGGTGCAGTAGAGGGGGCCTGTGAGGCCCTTGAGTAAACACACAGCCCGCTAAAGTGTGTGTGAATAAGTGCTAGGATCATTAGTGTGGGTGTGAATGGGCTCTAATTAGCCTCCAGTGTGTGTGTGGTTGTGTGTATGTGTGTGTATATTTGCATGCATCTGCGTCCACAAGAAAAGAAGGTTAGGGACCCAGGGCCCCGAGAGTCCATGGGCCCTGTGCTCTGTATCTCCAAGGGTTTACCAGCTCATTAAGGAGACCTCCGCGCCCATTAAGGGTCCAATTAAGAAGCAGGTTGGTGAGGCTCATTTGGATGGCAACACTTCAATGGATTCCTGAGCCAGCAGAATTCAGAGCTTGACAATGCGACGCGCCTTTCACACCCAGCGCAGCTAATTAGTAAATGACTACACTTGAAAAACAACATATTTTAATCGTTATGCCGTGACGTGATTGCGTTGCAGTGATCATAAAGTGCACCGCCAGGGAGAAAAGTGTTGGCTGTTGAATACATTGAGCTTTCTCTAATTTGCGCGTGTACTAACAGAAAACAACAAATCCCAGAGCTGTCCATGTGCTGAGAGTATAAGCTGGGAGCACAGAGAGGCCAGGGGATTTGGACAGAATGGGGGAATGCAACATGCTCACTGGGAATGGGGGAAATAAGGGGCAACGGAGAAACAGGGATAGAAGGAGATTGGATGAAAAAAAAAAAAGATAGAGCTGAAGAAGAGGAGATAGAGTGAGAGATTGGGTGAGTGAGACAGATGGAAGGGGTGATTGGTCATCACAGAGCCTTAGGACAGCTGTTCTTTGATATATTAGTGGACACAATGACCTAAAGCCAGCCTGCAGTCACAGAAAATAGGGACCCTGTTTTTCTTGAAGCGAAGGAGGAGGAGGAGGAGGAGGGGGGGGGTTGGACAGGCTTCTGCCATTTGTGGACGTGCGTTAGCAGGCACGGGGGATGGGGGAGTTGTTTCTAAAATTACGAGCATGAAGTGACGCATCCAGCAATTATTCCGGAGGCTTTTCTAGTTTTGGAGAGTGCTGTAAAATGAGCACACTCTCAGATGGGACTTTGCCTTTTTGCTGCACTATCATTAACTATTCTAAACACGTTTGCCAATTAATCAATGTTTGACAAATGCCATCAAGTAGTTTGGCTGCTGTTGCTCTCCATCCGCTCTGCAAAGTAACAACTTTTAATTGCAGAATATTCGTCCGCTGCTGATGAATTGCAGATTTACCACGCAGAGGCATGATTTGGTTTTGATATTGATTGGTTTTGAGCGATAATTGTCATTTATTGTTTCAGTGTGTTTTATTGCACACAAGGGCAGGATGATTTTATATTTCAGTTTCGAAATACGTAGTAGAAATCTGTCATATTGTCCTTTTCTGGTAATAAAACCATATTAGCTCCACACGCTGACAAAAACTCTTCTGACAGCTGGCCGGGAACGTTCCCAGAGGAGGATGAAACAAAAAAAAATAGAGTAAGTCAAACTGTCATTCTGATACATGGAATACAGATCGCTCTTTCCACAGAAAGACGAAAATACACAGATAGGGAGAGAGAGAGAGAGACGCACTCTGAGGACATCCCTCAATGCCACTGCAGGAGATAGGCTCCTTCCTCCTGGGACTGGACTCGTGAAGCATGTTTGAAAAGAGCTGCGTCTGCTCACGCTCCGGGCAGCAGGTGTGAAAACTCCCCACCAGAGCTCCCGCACTCTTCTGTTATTACATCTTTTTAGGGCCATGAAAGAGAGAGCAGATGAGCCAGAGGGAGCGACAGGCAGAGTGGGAGTGCGGGATTGTGTTTCTTTTGAATGATAGCAGGCCCGTGACTAATGCATAGATTTATAATAATTTTCACTAGCAATGTCCAATTATGCATGGCTGATATACGATGATCCCTGCTGTCCAGCGCGCACATTATCCCTGTCTTAAGGCGGTTTGGCAAGGGTCTCAAGGACTGACCTTGCACTTCCTTTTGGCAATACCCCACACGAGCACAGAGCCTCTGCGGGGTGGTAATGTAACAGAAGTACAGTGCAACATATGTAATATGCAATTTATGTGAGGAATTTATCATCATTTTTCAGTTCGTTTTAGTGCAAACTTTGCAGGAGCTGATAAAATGCATGTTTCATACCAGAGTGAGAAAATATCCAGAGACAATTTGCTGCTGTCTCCACCAGCCGCGCTGTGAATTGTGGCCAGCCCCTCAGATTGGTGTTTTTACGACAGGCCGGTAGTATGCAGCGAAATACAGCCTAGAAAGAATGCCCTGCTTGATATTAGTGTCATAAATCACAGTGAACTTGAGAACAGTGGACATTAGGGGCTTGAAACGACAAATCAAGAAAACAAACATAAATAAGTTCTGAGTTGCTTCTCGTTTCGCACGCTATACTCAAGATCATTTATTTCTCATTTAAAGCAGCTTATTGGATGCGTTTGTCTGAAATAAACAGTTGAGTTGAAAGAGTCCTCAAGAAATAGAGATAAGTCGTTTTACATATTTATGACCGTCAAGCTGGAGTTTCATCCAATAACTCATTGATCAGCTTGTG